CTCTTCACTGCTGGAATCATCCAAAAGTGAATACATCAGTTGCTCCATATTTTCTCTTTTTGTTTTTTGCACGACAAATATTAGTTTTTCCTTTAGTTTTCAAGTTGATCATTTTCTTTATTGAAATGTATCAATACATGTTTTAACCTTGTTAGCCCTGCCAATTAAATGTCAAATTTACAATATGCACATTTCTGCTCGGCCAAATTCATGTAGCTAAAATAAGCAGAAATGTGCACCACTCAGCGCCATTTTTTTCTCGAGAGAGCTGCAAGTTTTGCTAGTTTTTGGAGTACGGGAACGCGTTGTAGCAGAATTAGTGCTAATTAGTACTAATTTGCAGGTTCTGGAACGCAACTATTGTATCATAGCCCTACCTTGACTTTATTGTGCCATGTATCATGGTACAATAAAAAGGTAAGGTAGAGCTACCAGCTGATTACAATTTTTTTCTAAGTGTGTCCGACTTCTGCCAATTTTGTGTATGTATTTATTATTTTGAAAAAATAAAAACAAAAGATTTTCAAAATCAATGATTGGAAGAAACTTAAATTTCGGGGCGCACATTAATGATATTAACCAGATTTGCGACGGAATTGAAAGATTGAACACTCAGGATCATACTTTTGAGAGAACATCCAGGCATTTCATTCATCTTTAACGCTATTTGACTCATTTTAAAAAGAACAAAAAATATCAAATAAATGAAAACAACTTGTTGTCTATAATTTTGAATAATTCTGACAGGAAGCGGGAATAGCCTCAGGGCTGTATTTCTCTAGTTTACGATGCTGTTCTACCTCCTTATTGTACCGTGCCATGTAACAATGAACTGTCAAACCAATTTTGGAATTGAAAATATTGAAAAATTATTTAAATTTGTAAAAATTGTTAAAAAAAAAATTACATTCGAATGACATCGTATAAGAAAAAATATAAAAATTTACTTATATTTGAAAAAACATTTAATTATTTTTAACATATCAACGCTCCCAATCATTATGCATCTACCTGTATTCTTCTGCCATGGTTGTATCGTTTGCAAGAAGTTATGTTTCTGTTGCTCCAAAAAATTAACATTTTTTGATATTTGGCATATTCTACCATGAACCATAGTAGAAAAAGCAGATAGTAACATAGGCGAATTACAACAAAATAACTTTTTGGAAACTTGATATGTCAAACTTGTAATCAGGACGAATTTATTTGAAGTATAAAATTTGGGGGACATTGGTTTGTACCATGGTAGAAGAATATAGGTAGACGCGTCGACGCAGCTGCTAGGACAATGAACTGCCAAACCAATTTTAAAATTGAAAATGTTGAATGAAAAATTATTTAAATTTGTAAAAATTGTTGAAAAAATGCGAATTATGATAGCCTCCGAATGACGTAGTATAAGAAAACATGTACAAATACAAACATTTAATTGTTTTTTGACATATCAATGCTCTCAAGCGTTGATGCATCTACCTGTATTCTTCTGCCATGGTTTGCACCATGCAATGCCTATATAAGGCCGGCCAGTAAGACCATCTAACGACCAAGTTTTCTGTCAAAATGTATTTTGAATTCGCCTTATGAATACAAAAACAAAATTGGGACTTTCTTGTCAAAAAAATCGAAATAATTTAAATTATTAAAGGAATTTGAAGACAAATGTATATAAATTATAAATAAATAGGAAAGTTGTAAATTTGAAAATGAGAATTTGAAGCAACGTCTTCTGCATGCTCTGAACACTTCGAGGTTGCTCATGTGGTAAAATCTGGGAAGAAATTTAGACTGCTGCCTATAGCCATACCTCAAATGGAACTTCTGTATGAGGACACTTGGAATCGATCTGGAGTTGTCTGTCCGTCCATCCATTTGATGTACACAATAACTCTAGAAGAGAGCCCCGATTTGGCTTAGAAAACTTAGATCGAGTTCGTATTGCATATTCTGGTGAAAATAAGACAAAATATTAATAATCAATTTTGATATTTGGTGTTTGTCTTATTATGTAAATGATTTCGCTGTAATTTTTATATGTCAAGGCTGTAAATTGTATATGCCAAGACCCAAGGTAAATTTAACAGGTAACCGCATCGGCGAATTGCTTCAACAGGGAATTTTTGTGGTACCCTCAAATGTCAAAATTGGCATCTAAGGCGAAAAACATACAATCGCCTAACATTTAAATTTTTCGGCAATTTTTTTCAACCAATCAGAAACGTGTTGTTTGTTTACATTTTATATTGGATTCGAGCGGTAGATCCCTAATCGTTTGGTTGAATTTTTTAAGCGCTCTTACAATTTCGTGAAACTTTTTAAATCATTTTTGAAAATTAACCTGTCTTAGCAGGTATTCTATCAGATGTCACATACTCTGATGATACCTGTAACAAATTCAATAGCACCAATGGAACAAGGAAGACCTTTACCACATAATCAGCAGCCAGTTTCAGCCAATGGCTTAAACAAAAACAACAATTATGGCAAGCGTCTAAGGTTAGAAGACTCTACACCACCAACTGATGTTGACATATCGGGGTTCAAATATGATCCTAATAATCAGAACAGGTATGCAATGTTTGCAGATCTGGAATTTGAAAATATTCAACAAGCACCGCAAAACAATAACATCGATCCAGAAAAGTCACCAAAAAAAGAAAAGACGTCTTTTTGCCCACCAATATTTTTATATAATATTAATGTCCTACTCCTAATTAAACAATTAGAAGAAAGATCGCCACCAATTAATTTCAAAATCAAAAATTTTGGTACAAATAAATGTAAATTATATCTATCTGATCCCACAGCCCACACTGCAATGCTAGAGACTCTTCGTGAAAAGTCTGTCCACGCGTACTCGTTTACACTGAAAGAATTAAAGCAGGTGTCATTTATATTAAGGGGACTTTGTCAAGGCGTTGAAGCTGAATACGTCAAAAATGCCTTGGATGAGGTATTGCCTGAAGTTATTTCCAAGGTATCAAAATTCAAAACTTCCAGATCAATAAAAAATAATTTGGATACAGGTCTTTTCTTGGTGACTCTTAATCCTGGTAAATCATTAAGCGACATTTCCCATATTAAATATTTACATAAGCAATCGCTTACATGGGAAAGACCAAACAAGAAAAATAACGAAATACAATGTCGCAGGAGCCAAGGATTGGATCATATCTCGAAAAACTGCGGCTCTCAATATAATTGCGTAAAATGTGACCAGAAACATGCACCAGGAGAATGCCAAAGATCAAAGTCGGATTCCTCTGATTCATATTGCATTAATTGCCGATCTAATGGACATCCCGCAAACTGGAGAGGTTGTCCTGTATTTAAAAAATATGCAGCTAAGAGAAGAGAACGCATTCAAAACGCCATAAACACTAAAAAAGCAGCAACAGTCATGTCATTTCCAACAATTATGCAACAGCAGATAAAACATTTGCAAGTCATTTTCATCCTACGAAGAGCCATAGTAGTAAACCATCAATTATTGACGAATTTTTAAAATTGTCAACTATTTTCTTGCAACCAGAGGAACGAAACCTAGAGCAAGAAATAAACATATTTCTGGCAGAATTCAACAATATGTCAAAGAGTAAAGCTAAAGACGAATTAATGCGTCTTTTAAAAAAAGTTAAGGATACTTATGGTCCATAGGTTCTTAAAATGTTTAACCTTCAATGTTCGGTCTCTTGTGGCTCGCAGTCGTCAGATCGAGCTACATAAATATCTTTCCGAAAACAAAATTGATATTGCATTTATCCAAGAATGCCATTTTCGAAGAAATAAAAAAGTTTATATGAAGGGTTACACATTTTTATATGACTACTCAAATATTGGCGTGGCAGTACTTTTAAAAAATGACATCAATTACAAGCGCACTACAGTTGAGGATATAAATTTTAATGCAGTCTTTATTGAGATTGAGACAAAAAATGAACAATTCAATGCAGAAATTTTTACTAGGTTCGCTTTATATTTCAACCAATTTCAACACACAATACTTAATCGATGGTCTAAATAATTGTCTGCAGTTTACTAATAATTATGATGGATTTATTTTTGGAGGGGATCTTAATTCTAGACACACGACATGGGGTGATATAATGGACAACACCAATGGAAGGACACTTTACAATTGGTTGCTTGATATTGCCACAGACGTTACTCGAATATGTGACTCTTCTCCTTCATACCCTAATGGTCCATCTTATTTGGATAATTTTTTGGTCAGCCCAAAACTGATAGATTCTGATGCAGGCAACTACAAAATAACCAGTATTCCCTCATTTTCTGACCATTACCCTCTCAAATTGGATTTTTCTTTCAATACAGGTGGTATTATCCTCAAAACTCCCAGAGTGGTTGTTTCTTATAAGTCCACGGATTGGAGTATGTTTCGTCGACAGTTTGATTCTGCGTTGGAATCCATTTTACCACCTGCAAACAGAAATCTTGTTAATAATGAAGTTGACAATTGCATAAATATCTTTGAAAATACCTTTCATAACATACACAAACAGCACTGCAAAATAATTGAAGTAAACAATCACCAAATATGAAAATATAAATAGGTTTTATAAAATCAAAGATCAATGGCAAAAAGACCTAAAAAAATATTTCATCGAAATGGCAAGAGACCAAATTTTGAATATAATATATTGTCCAAACAAATACAGCTACTCAAAGACATTATACGGGACCTTCTTTACAAAGAGCAGGCTAAAGTTTTTAACTCTAAATTAAAAAATATAAAACCCAGTCCATCAGCTTTCCAACAAGTCAGCAAATTAATTGGAAAATCTAAAACACAATTTTGCCAACAGCTACAAATATATAATGTGGCTTTTACTACAGGTAGAGAGATCGCAAACGCGTTCCATGACTATTACAGCGACACTTTCTGTGAGAATATTCCAGAGTTACCACCACCTAACATTGAATCCCGAATACAAAGTTATTTCAATCCAATTGCTATCCATATATACACATTTGATGATGGATTTAAATCATTACACAATTCAGACAACTACCACTTTACAATTGTATCATCTATAAAAACGCACATTGTAAGTCTGAATAGAAAAAAATCGACCGGTCTAGATGGAATATCAAACTATGTACTAAAGAATTTTTCTGATGAATCTTTAAAATTCTTAACAATTATATTCAACAACTGTTTGAATAATGGATACTTCCCTAAGTCATGGAAAATTGAAAAATTATACCAATCAAGAAGAAAATTAACAGTATAACACCTCAAGAGTTCCGTCCAATATCTATGTTATCCAATATTGGAAAAGTTTTTGGGAGAATTCTATGAGAAAAATTAGAAAATGAGTTTGTGATACATCCGATTCCCGACTGGCAATTTGGCTTTAAAGCGGCACACTCAAAAAACCATGCATTATTGAAGTTTCGTGAAGACGTAACAAGTAACCTGAGAGAAAATATCTGCACTGTAGCGATTTCCCTTGATATTCAAAAGGCTTTCGACTCTGTGTACCACAAGGGGATAATCTATAAATTAATACAACTTAGTGTGGACCCATTATTAATCAAAATTCTCCAAAATTTCTTGACAGATAGGAAATTTACTGTCACAATTAATGATTGTCTGTCCAGTTTTGGATCTATATCGAGTGGAGTTCCTCAAGGCAGTGTCCTGTCGCCCCTTCTATTTAATCTTTTCCTTCACGACTTCCCCCATCAAACAGAAAATTCAAAAGCCATATTGTATGCTGACGATTGCTTGGTATATAGTCACCATAACTCACCCACTGAAGCCTTAAAGCAAGCCGCTCTTCACCTTGGCGATATAAGTAAATATTATAAAACATGGGAAATTACAGTAAACGCAGCTAAATCGGAAGCAGTATGTATTAGAAACGCATCTGGGAAATGTCATAGAAGCGTTGTTCCCGAAGCGAAGAATCTGTGTCTCTTACTGGATGGCATAGAAATTCCATTCCGAGATTCCTTCAAATATTTGGGAATACATATAAATAAATTATTTAAATTTAATGAACACGCCAGAGCATCATTGAAAAAGGCCAAGATAACTGCTGGACGTTTGTCCACATTAATGTGCAATACTTATCCGCCGCAAAATACTAAGCTGCTACTTTATAAAGTTGCAATCCGGCCAATTATTGAATATGGATTACCAATTTGGTTCACCATTTCGCCATATGTAGCTAAGGAAATTGAGACGTTTGAGAGGAAGATTTTAAGAAAATGTGTTGGTCAAAACTTTCAAAATCCAACTAAAAGGTTCTCTAACCATCACATTTACAGCACCGCCAATATTGTGCCATTTTGCAGCTATGCCCTAAACCTGCAAAAAAGATTTGTAGAAAACTTAGCTGCACATGACAACATTCTGTTGAATGAATTATTTACTGCTGAAGAAAATACAAATTGGACAGAAGCTGCTTACCTTTCTACTATAGGTATCATAAATGTAAGATTTGACAATGATTCTGGGCAATATTCAACACCAAACTTTTTCACCAAGACAATACCTGGAATGCACAGGGGATAATAGTATTAAATAACAAATCTGTGATATTTACATTACTAGGCTTAAGATCTCCCACAATAGTACTTTATTTTATTGTGTATGTCCCTTCCTTTGTCATAAGGTATCGAGAATGTATAATTAGCATACTTTTGCAATCACTGTTTATATTAGCAAATCGCTTTTCGATGTTATTGCATATTCAATTTTCAATTTGTACGTACTTTATTTTGTTTATTTTAAGTTCATCGTAAGTCAACAATTTAACGATATGTTTTTTATTTATTTTAGCTTTAAGTGTTAATTATTTGTAAGATTTATGCAGACAATTCGCTCTGCAAGTCAATTGAAAGATTGGGAGCAAATCTTAAAACAAAATTTTCACGTTTGTTTACATCACATTTTTATTACAATTTCATTTTGGCATGAAGCCCGTACGAATATCACAGTGCAACAGAACAAATGATTATAGTTCCGTAATTTAACATTGTTATCGATAAGTTCAAACATATAATGTTATCGTAATCTGAAAAAGTCTCAATAAATTTTACTTACTTACTTACATTCATGGTACAATGATATCAAGGTAGGGCTATGATACCATATGATTTCAATTTTTTTATTTTCTTGGCTTAATATGTCATCTTTATTTGTTTATGTATGTGTTTTATTTTCAATAACAAAAAAATTGTTCAGAAAACATTCAAATTCGGATGTTTTCAAAATGTTTATTCCAACGTATGCATCGACAAAATCTAGAGTTTTTGTAGCGAAATAATCCTTTAGAGATATATAGAACCTGGTTTTGAAAAGAAGTGTTGACCTTTCATTCAGTTTTCGCGGTTTTCAATTATTTATTCAAAATAAATGCAACAAGTTGTTTGATTTTGTTATTGTTTTGATACTATTTCTGACATTACAAGCCAAACAGGTAGACCTCTATACTTGCAATTTTTTCAAAGTTGACCTACCTTCTCTTCATTGTACCATGCTTACATTTTATATTGTTTGTGGAAATTAAGCCAAGTAATTACGCGTCTCGGGGACCATTGCAACAGCCCCGAAATGTTTATACAAGTCCACAACTGTAATATCTTCTACGTCATCGACAAATACCACTAATATTCCAGCCAATTTTGGTAACCGGAGGTTACACCGACTCCAGCACATGGCACAACAGTAGCAAGTGTCCCCGATCAAATAGTTTTAAAGAAAGGACATAGCACAAATATCGCCACCAGTAAAACTCCTTTAAGAATGCCCAGCAATCAAGCCAGTAGCCACTTGGTGGATACCAAACCTCTCTTGGTAGCAGAGCCGATGCAAATTCCCCAAACCATACAAAGAGTTTTCACAGACTACAGAAGGCTGGTGGAGCTGCGGCTAGTGGAAGTTTAGATAAGACCAACTGAGTCATAGCTCTCGTGAAAAGTTGAAGCACCAAAGTAAAATGGCTATACAATAGAGTCAGGCCGTAAAGGGGTTGCATGGACCCATATAATGCTGCATGGACCCATATAATGTTGCATGGACCCATATAACCTTTGATTACAGTGATTCTGGAATGCAGCTTCAGGCCATGACAATTCTCACGTTTCATTGGTTTCCCTAAAATTGGGCTAATTCAGCATTACAACAACTTGTTTTGACATTTAAAGGTGCCATCGACTGGGGTGATGCGACTACCTGGTAGATTTACCTTGCCAAATCCCATTTATTAGGTAGTGTAAAGAGCGAATTGCTTAAAAACAGCTGATTTATTCCTTCGAGCTGTCAAAATTTATTTTGAAGCAGAAAATATTTCGCCTTCGTCTTTCTTCTTTTTGTGGCGAATTGCAAACAAACATAAACACGGCACCATTTTTATTTCCCAAAAGCAATAATTGTATTTTTGTATTAGATATTAAAAATTAGTCGTTGGATAATGCTGTTGGCTTTGTGTTGATGGCCAGGAGCAGGGAGGCGTAAGTTTTACCTGGCAATTTGTGTTTCATTTGGCTCTTGTGTCTACGTCCTTTGGAACGGAGAAAAAAATTACATTTCCATTCAAACTATTTTTTGCAAACCTTGCAGACATTCATTTTTTACTTGTAATATTTTATAATCACGTGAAAGCAATTGTGCAGAATTAGAAAATCAAATTTGAATTGTGTATACCAATATCCTCAGCATAACTGTAAACATTCGATGATGACAGTTTGTCATATTTTGCAGCGAATTCCAGATATAACCAAATCTATTTTGACAGAATGGGTGAAATCAGCTGGGCTAATCGGAGAACTTAATGGCTAAGTACATAAGAGGCTTGAAGTCATGGCTAGGCATATTTTGTAACATTTCACAAAGGGATTACAGAGCCGCACTAAAATCCAGCCGTCGTTTTCCATTATAATTTGACATTAATATGCCTAGCCATGACTTCAAGCTTCTTATGTACTTAGCTCTTTAATAATTGGGCAATGGCATGGTAGAAGAATATAGGTAGACGCGTTGAATGAAAAATTATTTAAATTTGTAAAAATTGTTGAAAAACTCGAATTATAATAGCCTCCGAATGACGTAGTAAAGAAAACATATAAAAATCTACTTATATTTTTTTTTTTTTTTTTTTTTTTTGTATAATTGACCTTTGATCAATATATTTTCTTCTGGTTTTTCGTTTGGCTCGAGGTCAGAATTTAAAAAACAGACGAATTTATTTTTTTTAAATGTACCTCCTAATAAACGAATGAACTACAAAACTGACACGGAACATTGTGCACAAATTTATAGAAATGTCATCGAAAAGCATAAGAAAAATTAGTTGGAAAATTCGAGTAAAAAGGAAAGGATGGAAAAGCTGCATCAGAGAACTTAAAAACAGAAGAGTTAAAATCCAATGTAATTATCGTTATAGTGTTTTGTTTTATTTATTTATACTAAATGTTAATTGTTTTTTCAAGTCAAATCCCTGATGATGACTATCGAAGATAGTCGAAATATCGGACAAATAAATTAATATATAAAAAAAAACAAATTCGTCTGTTTTTTAAACTCTGACCTCGAGCCAAACGAAAAACCAGAAGAAAATCTACTTATATTTGAAAAACATTTAATTTTTTTGACATATCAAGGTTCCTAAGCGTTGATGCATCTACCTGTATTCTTCAACCATGGGCCATGGTATATGCCAAGGCAATTTCGCCTTGTTATCGATATTTCCACTTTGCGTATTTGGGTAATACAGTCGTACAAGACATTTTACCACGTCGGGTATTAGGTAAGCCTCTTAGAGTAATAATCTACATCGCCGATAATTTTATCAATGCTACATCGTTAAACTAATGCCATACGACGCGCAGACATAACATTCAAATAAGGCAAATCAAAAGTAGTGTTGATATTAATACTGCCTGCCGCTATATATTGAAATCTAAATAACATTAAGTTCCAACAATCTTCTATTGAGCAATATTTTGATAGACCATGATGTTAAACAATCTTTGTAAAGTTGGCACTGCCGTATCTCGCAATTTATTAGGTAAACATCTTTTTGTTTATAACATAATTCACTGTTACTAAAGTCCAGTCCAAAGTTCAAACAACCTACTCGAATAGCCAGTCATTTTTTTAACTTGCAATAACGTTTTTAGCTAACTCCACTGTCCGCAAAATGTCTGGAAAAATTCTATCCGTGAATTCGGCAAATATGGACGAATATAAAACGTTAAATATTGCTGTTCCAAAACCCTTCGTCTTCAGTGTCGAACTGAGCAGGCCTAAACGCTACAATGCTATTAACAAGGAAATGTGGATGTAAGTTATATGAAATACATGAACCATGTATTTGCCCCATGCTTGTTTCCTTTTTAAACTAATTTGTGCGACATATTTAGAGAAATTAAGAATTGCTTTGAAGGGTTAAGTGCAAATCCCGATTGTCGCGTTATAGTTTTATCTGGATCTGGTAAACATTTTACAGCAGGTATGTACAGTAGATTTAGTAGTAGGACTATTAATGTCTCAAGATTAAAACATTTATAGGAATTGACCTAACAGATATGTTGCAATTGGGACAAGAATTGGCCGAAGTGGAAGATGTAGCACGTAGAGGTGCTTATTTAGAACCGTTGATAAAGTTATACCAAGACTCTATGAGTTCATTGGAAAAATGTCCTAAGCCAGTAATAGTTGTTACACACTCCGCTTGTATTGGAGCTGGTATTGATTTAATTACCGCTGCGGATATACGGTACTGTACACAAGACGCATTTTTCTCAGTAAAAGAAGTTGAAATCGGAATGGCTGCTGATGTGGGAACACTGCAACGCCTTCCTAAAGCCATTGGCAGCCAATCACTAGCTCGTGAACTATGTTTTACTGGTAGAAAGTTCGAAAGTTCAGAAGCCTTAAGTTCGGGATTAGTGAGTAAAGTTTTCCCTGACAAAGAGGAAATGTTGAAATCTGCGTTAGAATTGGCAGAAAATATAGCACAGAAGAGTCCGATAGCTGTGCAGGCGACAAAACAGAACCTTGTATATTCTCTAAGTCGTCCAAATCAAGAAGGATTGGATCAGATTGTAAGTACATTCGAAGTGCAAATTTGTAGTATAAATAACTAATTGACTACCAAAACATCATACAAACATCAAGAATTCTATTCGGAAATACCGCTTTTTACAGAATGCAGCTGTAAGTGAAATGAGCTTGTGGTTGCAAACCGATGCTTTGAACTGAACACGGCATACTTGCGCAATTTATATCCTGATTCAATACAGAAAAAATTATATTGTTATTGAACGTTTTGAAAGTCAGCCCCTATTTATCAAGATAATTAATTTCAAGTAACAAATACTTAATACGATTTGGAGGGGATAAGTCAACACAAGTTGTTTAAAGTAAGGATTAGATACATTAATAATTAATGTATTAAAATCGTTGAATTTTTTAAGCTCATAGATAAGTAGTTAATGGATATGCAACCTATCTACACATGTGCTTTGTTTACTTTGAAGCTGAAAATCCAAATGACGATATCTAGAAACATAGAGACTTCTACTAACTTCTACTAATTTTTATTTCATGGTTGTTATATAAGGGAACTAAAGGTGAGGCAATTATACTCAATTTAATTGATTTAAACAACCCAACCCAAAAACTGGTCATATGTGCGATGCAATTACATTTATGCCTTGGTCATGCCTTATAGTCCAAATTAATAGTGATATTTCTTATGCAATAATAGACGTGTTCTCCATATGAATTTTTTATGTCAGTGTCACGTTTTATAGAATGTGAAAAACATAAAAACTGAAAAAATGTATTAGTAATTAAATATAAATTTGCGGTGATCACATTAAAATGTATATTTCTTAGCCTTTACCACTTCTAACGTCCTTTATTTCGTTCTCTCCATTTCAGCGCGAAATGAACAAATTATACTTACAATCCGAAGATTTTGCTCAGGCTGCCGCAGCTCAATTGACGAAAGGTGATAAACCAGTATTTGCCAAATTGTAATTGTAAAACTATAGTTATATTTTTATAAATAAAGAAAAAATTA